ACACTGGGAGATGCTGCTGCACCTGAAATCACATGGCCTCCAACTCTCTAGTATGAGACACAACTCGATATATATATATATATATATATATATATATATATATATATATATATATATATATATGCTTAGACCACCCACTAGTTTGAGACACAACTTGATCTATATGTATGTCTAATCCACCATGAAGATGCAAATCTTTTCCTTCAATTCAATCGTTACATCCGAAAAGAAAAGAATCAAGGCAGGAGAAGGGTGAGAAGACCCAACATTTTTATTCATCGGCCTTAGAACATAAAAATTGTTATGTCAGAACGTATCTGTGTATTTAATATTGCTTGTTACGACAAGAATGATAAGAAGAAGACTTTTCCTGCTTCCACATGATATGGAATCTTTAGAAAAGGCAAAAATAAAGCTATATTTTCTTCCATGTTTTGAATATTATGCTGAGATTTTAAAGTGTAATTTAAACTGATTAGGACAATGCAACCTAAATCTAAGCTTATTTTCGTACTATATTGAGTTTATTTGAGTCTGAATCAAACTGTTTTAATATAACTTGAAAGCATAAAAATGTTAGGTGATGGACCAATTTATACTTGCGTAATTTGACTCTTATATCTTAAAAATGTGAGGCTAATCTTGACATGAATTTTTTATCTAACACCTTAAACCACTTTGACATGCAATAATAATTCAGTGCTCTTACGATACGAAGATCGTTGCCCCATGTATACATACACACACTGCCTTCCCTTTCTGTGTCTTTGCTTAGCCAACATGAGGTCCCAGAACATTACCTAAATTGCCAAATCCAAAGCTTTAGCTTAAGCCTAAGAGACAAGAGCTGAGCATGCATTCATTGTAGGTTATAGATTTAGACATATGACCGATGGAGACAAAAGGGAGGGTCCTCCGGACGAAGATAATTCTTCAACTATTGTTATGAATTTGATTTGGAGTTTAGGTAGCGGAGAGAGATAGATAATCGTAACCATGGATAATATTATAGCTCTTGCAATAAATACTTGTCAATAAGTTTCTTCTCTTGTACTGCCACGCCTCAAACATAGCAGCACTAGCGAAGCTTTTGGGCGCTTGCAAACGCAATTAGCTTGGTTAAACTTGTTTATGCATTACTCTCCCGAGCTATAATTTCTTGGTTGTTGAAGAACTATAAGATCAACTAGCAAACATAGAAGACCCAAAGAAAACGGGTCAATGACAAGCAACGCTAGCAAATTGCTATCATGGTGGCTATGTCAAAGTTTATATTCGGGATCCCATTGGTATGACATAACACCACATTATATCACTTAAAAAGATTTATATTAGTTCAGAACGGTCATACCATAAAGGGTCCAAGGCTAGTCGATCCGAAAGTAGATATTTAGAGTATCCTATTTGTTAGTTTGACAAGTCCCACATAGTCCCACATCGAGAAAATCAAGCTTGTTATCTCCTATTTTAACTATAAATAAGGGCTTAAACTTTAAAGTCAGATGTACCATAAGAGAAACCTAATTGTTTGCTTTCAATTTAATTTATATTAAGTCCACACTTAATTAAAATAGTTTGGGCTTATAGTTTGAGCTTTTTGTTTAGTAGTTTTATGAGCATTTTCTTGTTTAGTAGTTTTATAAAAAATCTAATTGTTTGTTTAGTAGCTTTTATGGCCTAGGAATATTTTCCTAATGTATTTGTAATTTTTTTTTATAGTAGAGTTTTGCTCCTCCTCCATCCGTGGACGTAGGTCAATTGACCGAACCACGTAAATATGGTGTCCTTATCTCTTTTATTTTTCTACTTTATTATCTTTATTGGGTTGTCAAATTACCCTTTGATAAATTTCCTAGGGCGAGCTCTAACAAACTGGTATTAGAGCTTGGTTTCGAGATCTTTTGGCAACGATGACAATAACAGAGATCGTGGTCGAGAAATTTGATAGAAATGTCAACTTCGGCATGTGGCAGCTCAAGATGGAGGCCATTCTAGTTCAAGGTAGAGTTGATTTGGCACCACAGGGAGCTGAGAACATTCCAGATCATACGTCAAAGGAAGATCTTGCGGGTATGGATAAAAGGCCCAATCAAGCATTATTCTAAATCTTTCTAACGAGGTTTTACGGGAGGTAGCTACGGAGATTACGGCTAAGAGCATGTGGGACAAGCTTAAAGCCTTGTATATGAAGAGGACAGTGGAGAATCGTCTCTACTTAAAGCAGAGTTTGTATATGCTTTGGATTACTTAAGGTACATCTATACTCTCATATCTTGATAAATTTGATTCCTTAGTTATGGATTTGGAGAATATAGATGCCAAAATTGATGACGAGGATAAGATCTTGTTACTTTTGTGTTCTTTTCCCCAATCCTTTAAGTATTTTCGTGATACTATGATTTATGGAATAGAAATAATTTTATATCAGAAAATTAAATATGCACTAAAATCTAAGGAGCGGATATACAGTGATATCACTGGGGAAAGTAGAGGGAATCAGACTTAGGGTCTGGTTGTCAGGGGTAGAATGGATAAAAGAAAATTTGATAATAGTAGATTTAAATCTAGATCTAAATCCAAACATAGAAATTTGGAGTGCAGATATTATCATAAAATGAGGCACATTAAGGCTGATTGCTTTAAATTAAAAAATAAATTAAAACAAAAGGAAAAAATTATTAAGAAAATTATTGAGTCTGCTGAAGCTAGTGTAGCAGTTGTTGAGAATATTGAAAATATTTTCTTTGCTACTGATGACAGGACGAGGTCTAAAAATGAATAAATTTTAGATTCAGATTGTTCTTATCACATGTGTCCCAATAGAGATTTATTTTCCACATATGAATCTTGTAATGGTGTAATTGTTTTAATGGACAATAATGTCGCATGTGATGTTGTTGGTAGAGGCACAATCCGAATTAAAATACATGATGGTATTATAAGGATGCTCACTGATGTTAGATATGTTCCTGAATTGAAAAAAAAATCTCATCTCTTTAGGCACCCTAGAGGCTTTTGGGTATAAATACGCAGTTGAAGGTGGAGTTATGAAAGTTTCTAGAAATGCCCCTATTGTTATGAAAGCTTATAGGTCTGGTAGCTTCTATATTTTGCAGGGAACTACTGTCATAAGCTCGTTGCAGTCTCGACATCATCATTGTTTGATTTTGACATCACTAAGTTATGGCACATGCGTTTGGGTCATATGAGCGAAAAAGATTTGAGCAAAATGGGTCTTCTTTGCGGACAGAGTACTAGGCGACTGGATTTCTATGAACATTGTATTTTTGAAAAGTAGAAAAGAGTCAGCTTCAATTATCCGGCAGTTTACAAAATGAAAGGTACTCTTAACTATATTCATTTAGACATTTGGAGTCTAGCTCGTGTTCAGTCTAAGGGTGGTGCTAGGTATATGTTGACTTTCATTGATGATTATTCCAGGAAAGTTTGGGTTTATTTTCTGAAGCATAAAAATGATATTTTTCTAACCTTTGAACAATGAAAGGCTTTGATTGAGAAGCAAACAGATAAACAGATTAAGCGGCTTCGAACATGTAATGGTATGAAATTTTGTGAAGGTGACTTTGATGAATTCTACAAAAATGAAGGAATTGTTCGACATCACAATGTTAGGATGACTCTTCAGCAAAATGGTGTGGCCAAACGTATGAACAGAACAGTTTTGGAGAGAGTAAGGTGTATGATCTCAAATGCAAGATTAATAAAGGACTTTTGGGCAGAGGCGATTAATATGGCCTGTTACGTTGTCAACCGCACTCCTTCTACAGCACTTAATTTTAAAACTTCGGAGGAAGTTTGGTCAGGTACTCCTATTGATTACTCTGATTTAAAAATTTTGGGTGTCCAGCATACATGCATGTAAATGAAGGAAAATTAGAGCCTCGAGCTAAAATATGCATTTTCCTTAGATATGCTTCTGGGTTGAAAGGATACAGATTATGGTGTTCTGATCCCAAATCCCCAAAATTTATAATAAGTAGAGATGTTACTTTTGATGAATTGTCTATGTTATCTTCTAAAGAGGAATCTACTAGTTGTACAAATAATAGTGCGCAGAAGCAAGTGGAGCTTGAGATTGGTAGTTCTAATTTTTTTCAGTTGAACTCTTCTACTCAAAGAATGCCAGTAGATGGTCCCGAGTCTACTAACGAAGATGATCTAGAGGAAAAGCAATATTACATAGCCAAGAATAGACCACGAAGAGATATTCGACCACAACAAAGATATGCAAATTTGATTGCATATGCTTTGTCTGTTGCAGAAGAAACAAGTGAAGTTTGTGAGCCTACTACCTACTC